GTGCGTGCGTGCGCGCGTGTGCAGGTACACGTTCGTACGTGCGTGCGTGCGTGCGGGCGTGTGCACGTACACGTGCGTGCATGCGTGCGAGCGTGCGTCCGTGTGTGTGCACGTACACGTGCGTGCGTACGTGCGTATGTGTGCAGGTACACGTGCGTGCGTGCGTGCGTGCGGGCGTGTGCACGTACACGTGCGTGCATGCGTGCGAGCGTGCGTCCGTGTGTGTGCACGTACACGTGCGTGCGTACGTGCGTATGTGTGCAGGTACACGTGCGTGCGTGCGTGCGTGCGGGCGTGTGCACGTACACGTGCGTGCGTGCGTGCGTGTGCATGTACACGTGCGTGCATGAGTGTGTGCGTGCGTGCGCGCATGTGCAGGTACACGTTCGTGCGTGTGTGCGTGCGTGCGTGCATGCGTGTGCACGTACACGAGCGTGCGTGCGTGCGCGTGCACGTACACGTGCGTGCATGAGTGTGTGCGTGCGTGTGCAAGTACGCGTGCGTCCGTGTGCAAGTACGCGTGCGTGCGTGCGTGTGTACGTACATCGTACTAGTGCTGCCGCCTATCGTGGAGGTTAAGCTAACTCGAGTTAAGCGTCTACACGGGCCTTAACTCGAGTTAAGCGTCTACACGGACCTTAACTCGAGTTAAGCGTCTACACGGGCCTTAACTCGGGCCTTAACACGGGCCTTAACTCGGATTACTCGAGTTAGCTTAACCTCGATCGACTGGCGAGGTTAAGTTAACTCGATATAACGCTAACTCGAGTTAAGGCTCCGTGTAGACGCTTAACTCGAGTTAAGGTTCGTCGTGTAGACGTAGCTATAAGCACGCGCGTAGAGACATGTACACGCGCGTACACACATAGACACGCGCGTACAGACATGTACACGCGCGTACGTACACACGCACGCGCCCACATACACACGCACGCGCCCACATACACACGCACGCGCGCACGTACACACGCACGCGCGCACGCACACATGCACGCGCGCACGCACACACCCACGCACACACACACACACACACACACACACACACACACACACATACATACATCTGATAATAACTTATCTTACAATGAAAAAAAGTTTTTGAAGGGTCTATACAGTCTGAATTGACGCCCGAGCATCGAGTGATGATGGGGCAGAATCTCAACCGCTACTACTAGTATACCGCTAAATACTACTGCTGTATAAGCAGTATAATGAGTGTATTTTCAATGCGTTTATATAGGATTGTACATCGCCATAATGCTGGCGGTTGGCAGTTGACGAGGGGCGCTATTACGAGGCTGAATTACGTACAAATAGATCCAAACGATCTGTACATTGGCATTGTCCTGGCGATAAGTGAGGTTGGCAGTATTACGAGGGGCGGTATAACGAGGTTTTACCGTAGTCTAGAATTTTGCACGCATCCACACACCTAGCTCCCCCCCCCCACACACACACCTCCCCCTACATCCCCCCAAAAATCTTTAATTAAAAAATAAATAAAATTATAATTTAAAATTAAAATTAAAATTAAATTAATTAATTAAA